TTACTAAACTATTTTTAAAGTGTGGTATATTAACTATATGGCAATATTGACAATTTGCTTATTTTGATCATCTTTTGGAAGTTGTTTTTTAAAAGCTGCCTAATCAACATTGGATAATAACATTTCATATTTTTCCAGAAACTAGAAGAAATGAGTTGGGGATTAAATTGTAATGATGGAGTGTCTTAGTCACTGCTCTATTGCTGTGAAGAGACAGCATAACCAAGTAAACTTATAGAAGAAAGCATTTGGTTTGGGGACTTGCTGACAGTTTCAGAGGGTGAGTCTATGACCATCATGGTAGGGAGCATGGCAGCAGGCAGGCAGGCATGGCAGGAGCCATAGCTGAGGCTGTATAAGCAGCCTATCTACAAGCAGGAGGCAGAGCAAGGGACGTTGGGCCTGGTTGTTATGATACAGCACACAGGAGGCCTTGGCAGGTTGGACCAAGGTGCCCTGGTGGATGAGGGAGACATGCCATGCAGATGTGGCAACAGGCTGTGGTGTGGACCAGTGAAAAGCTACACCATGCAGACATGGCATCCATGTGGAAAGTTTATTGGGGGAAGGGAGAAGGGAAGGGAGGGAAGGGAAAAGGGAAGGGAGAGAAAGAAGGTGCACACCTCATGGGAATAGAGAGAAAGAGTGGGGGAGGTGGGGGAAGAGGAGTTTTCTCTTAAAGTGGGCTTTATAGAAGATGACATCAGGGCACTGGGCAGGCCAGGTTATTATTTGTTTATTGGCCAGGATTCCAAGAAGTGGGTCTGAATGCTAACATTCTTCCCTTTTTGTTTATTATAAAAAGGTAAGTTATGGATAGCAAGTGGGGGGATGAGGGAGCCAAATTCTTGAGACTGCTTCCTGCTGAGTTGGGATAAAGTTGGGTAGAGGTCACACACAGTGGGAGGTGTGAGGGAAGAAGCTTTCAGTTAGCTGTCATTGTGGAGTCCTCTGTCGTCTGTTCCCTGAGGGAGCTGAGAAGGCAGGTTGCTAGGAGAAAAAAATAGATTGTTTTCATCGGCCCCATGAGTGGGGCTAGCCATAAGAAGAGTGATACCTGCCAGAAAGAATGGAACAGGGAAGTGTCCTGGTTGTACAGAAGAGGCAAGGGTGAATGAGTGAGACATGAGAACAGATATGCCCTTTAGTCTGGAGTGGTGATATCAGCAGTGAGGTTCCAGGAGCTTGGGGGAATGGCACACCAAATCAGGAGTACAAGAGCTGTTTCTCTGGAGGTGGAAATGCATCCATCCTGTAAAGGTGTCAGTAAGAGTTAAGAGATGTGGAGCCTTTTTATGAGCAGGAATGTGGGTGAAATCAACCTGTCAGTATTCACCTGGTTGGCATCCTGGGTTGGTGGTTGGCATCCTTGGAGCTGGTGCAGGGGCTGGCTATCTGGAGGACCCCCTGTGGGTTGACCTTGGTACAGGCAGGAGGTGTGAAACTGCAAAATATGTTTGAAAATGGGTGGGGACAAAATGGGCTCTGGAGACTGTTAGTTTTCATCAGACCAGATTTCTTTTCTTTTTCCCCATATTTATTTATTTATTTATCTATTATCAGCTTGACACAGTATAAATTCTTATCCTAATAGTGAAATGTTTCATTGAGGCTTGCCCAGTAATTGAGTAAACCCAAAACTTATTATAAGCCACAGTCATCCTAGGATCCCCCCTGCTTTATAGCCTCCTTGGTTCTGTGGGTTGCAGTCTGATTGTTCTTTGCTTTATATCTAGAATCCACTTATGAGTGAGTACTGGTGAGTGGTGCTGGCATAACTGGATATCAATATGTAAAAGATTACAAATAGATCCATATCTGTCACCGTCCACAAAACTCAAGTCCAAGTGGATCAAAAACCTCAACATAAATCCAGTTACACTGAACTTGATAGAAGAGAAAGTAGGAAGTACTCTTGAATGCATTGGCACGGGAGATCACTTCCTAAACATAACACCAGATTTCTTGATACAGTAGCAGAACTTCCCCCAGGAACCTGCAAGTGTCTGTAAGAGAGCTGGAACAGATTTACATCTTGGTGTCATAGCAAAAGGCTACGGCTTTGGGTTAAAAGGCATGAACATTTTTAGAAGACAACCAGAGAAAATTTAAAACTCTGAACCTTTGAAGTTTCATCTGAAACCCATTAATCCTGGACTATGAAGCCTGTGAACGAGACACATCTGTCTGTATTTTTAACAGGAAACTTATTAATGAGTTATTAAGGTGCTTGTCGCCTTGGCGGTGGTGGTGGGAGCTGTAAGATTGGCAAATCCTGGTCTTCAAACACCATCAGATCTCAGAAGCATGAGTAAGTGAACAGCTGAGACAGCTTTCCAGCTATGTAGGCCATCCCAGGTTTCTCAAAAGTGGGAAGGAGGGGTCTCATGTACCCCTGTGACCCGAGGAAGAGGTTAAACCAATAGGTAGCTCCTGAGTTCAGTAGAAGGTCAATGGACTTGCCCACTACCTGCAGCATCACCCCAGGTTTGGAGCGGGAATGGGAGTCACCAAGTCTAGACACCGTCAGTCCTTAGTCACCGACAGGCTTAGGAGTTCAAAGGCCAGGAGAGTCAAAAGCCTGTGTTGGTGAGGCTGGACCTCTGTGGCATGGCATAGAGGACATGGGCCTTGTGGGTGGCTGGGGGTCAGGGCAATAACATGACCAGTGGCCCCAGGCTGCATTTGATGCAGGCTCCTGGCCGAGTTGACTTGGGCTGAGCTTGGGAGGGTTGGGGTCTCATGGTGGACTTCCCTTGTCCCCTGGGGGATGGGGTGGTGGTGGTGGCCTAAGGGCAGCTGCCAAGGTGTGGGCTTGGAGCATAGCCTTCTGTTGCAGCTGGGCCCATTGGGAAGGCTCAGCTGTGTCTTTTCAGGTGTTAAAAAAGCTATTTTCACCAATTCCTGTATGGGGATTGGGGACCCTCCTAAGCCCCTTTAAAGCTTACTAATATGTAAGTAAAAGTGAGAAGGTTCGGCATAAATTGGTCTTTGTTAGCCTGAATAGACCTTAGATAAGGAGAGACGTTTTTGTAGTTTTGTCGTGGTTATGAATCTCAATATAAAACACCTGACATGCAGGTGGTCTTAGGCTACCCTGGTAAAAGAGGCAAGATCATTAAGGGCGTGCTGCCTTGCCCATAGGGAAATGTAAGCTGGCTGGCTGATGCCTGAGAGCCCTGGAGAGAGGGAGAGAATAGGTCTCCTGGCCCTGCCCACAGGAGCACCCGGGAGCCAGCCTTCGAGGCTTGAGTCCTGGCCCCATAAAACAATGCATGGTGTGTGGAAGAGCTTTCCTGGGGTGGTGGGGACAAAGCTGACCTCCCCCACCACTCCCCACCCCCTGCAGAGATGGTCCGAGCCATCCCATCTTTGAGACAAGGACAGGAAGTGACTTTCCGCTGCCCTTAATAAAGATGGCACCTGACCACGTGGTCATTTTTTTTTTCAATCCTAGCAAAGATGGCTGTCAGACATGTGGCTGATTAAAAATGTTGGCAATCCAAAATGGAATCATGTTATATCTGCTACCCCTTGGGCTCGGGAGTCAGCGGGGCAGGGAACCCCACCCCATGCACCTGAGGGTCCCCACCCCCATTGCCCCAGCTCCAGGCTCACCTATCATCCTGGGGTGGGACTCAGGGCTGCATACCACCTGCCATCAGGAGAACCCTGGCTGGCATGCCCCTCACCCCACTCCCCACGGGCTCCCACACCAAGTCGGGCATTCCTGGGGCCCCAGGCCTCAGCCTCAGCCCACCCCTTCCCTAGTAGGCAGTTGCAGGAAAGTGTGATAAGGCCAAGGTTGCAGGTGGAACAGGCAGACAAGGTCCTGGCAACAGAGTTGAGAGAGAGAGAGAGAGAGAGAGAGAGAGAGAGAGAGAGAGAGAGAGAGAGAGAGGAGAGGAGAGGAGGCTGGAGATGAAATTACAGACAAGGAGAGGGATAAGGCAGACAGTTTTAAAGGGTGCACATGCTGTGGAAAGGGACCTGGGTGACAGGTGATGATGTCACTGCTTTGGCAGAGACTGGAGGAGCATGAGGATGTGGGCTAGAGCTGGGATAGGAGAGAGAGGTGCTTTCTCCACAAGTGAGGTAGAAGGGCCAACAGACTGACCTCCAGTGCCCCAGAGGGTCAGCGAGATCCAATGACAGCACAGGATAGCCAGTGGATGATCATCCAAAGGCTGTGGGCGGCGGCGGCGGTGGGGGGGTACTGAGTCGGCACGAGTTGTCCCATAGGAACAAGGGACTGAGGGCAGAGCCTAGGGGAGACTGGAGAAACCAAGATGACTCCTCACTTGTGGGAAATGGCCAGAAGGGGAAAGTGCCAGGAGGGCCTCTGACAGTCACATAGCACCAATGTTTTGATATGGCATGCATGCAGGAGCCCTTGGCGGCTTGGGCCAAGGTGCCCTGGTGGGTGAGGGAGACATGCCATGCAGACACAGTGGCGGGCTGTGGCATGGAGCAGTGGAAAGTTACACCATGCAGATGTGGCATCCACGTAGAAATTTTATTAGAGGAAGGGAGAAGGAAAGGAGAGCGAGGGAGGGAGGGAGGGAGGGAGAGAGAGCGCACACCTCATGGAAATAGAGAGGAAGTCAGGGGAGGAGTTTTTATCTTAAAGTAGGCTTTACATAAGATGATGTCAGGATGCTGGGCGGGCCAGGGTATTATTTATTTATTGGCCACGATTCCAAGAAATGGGTCTGAATGCTAACACTGATGTGAGCTTCTAAACCTATAAGCCACACCTACTCCAGCAAAGCCACCCCTCCTAATCCTTCCTGAACAGTTCCACCAACTAGGGACCAAGCATTCAAATACATGAGCCGACAGGGCTGTTATTATTCACACTGCCACATGAGAAACTATCTAGGTGTGTGTAAATAAAAAAGCAAAATGTTTGAATACGAATGAATATAGCTTGAAACAGGAATACATTGAGCAATAAATTGGCTTTGGTTTTAATTTTTATGCTTTTTATTTTCTTGTAGAATGTGCTCAAAAGCAAACTTGTCCATTGTGTACCCAAGACAAGAGAGTAAGTTAATTTTCTTATGAATAAATTGTCCTGGGAATGTTATAAACTCACACATTTATAGTTGTCATCTGAAAGATGTGCTAAGTTTTGTTTCCTACACTTTTATAGCAGAAATGAATAATAACAGCTATGAAGATATGTCCCTTTACTGTAAACCATTCTTTATGGGTCTAGAATAAATAATGGAAATACTTTAGTACAAACATGTACTTCCATCCAACAAAAAGAAAACAAGCTTTTGCTTGAAAAAGGAAATCACACCAAAATGTTGGAAGAATTTTTGTAAGGCAAGGAAAGAGATAGCTTTTGAAATATGGCAATATTTTCATTTCTAATCTCTAAAGACTAGAAAGAATGACACATGATCCTTAACCTCAGTGTAACTAAGATCCCCTTCTCTGATGATTAAATGTCTTTTATTATAGCTTTTTACTTCCAGCTTTGAAGAAAGCAACAAACAAACAAAAACCCCAACAGTGATGGAACAAACAGTTACCGGTTTGTACACAGCTGTGCAGCAACACCTGAACAACCACTCAGGTCTGACCTTTCTTAGAGAACTGACCACATCACAGAGAAGGGACACAATCTGGTGACGGTCTCTGTCACAGTGAGCTGGACAAATGTCACCTGCTTCCGCTCTTCTTCCAGGTCACTCTTGTGTTTTAATGAAGAGAATTCTCCACCCAGTTCCCACCATTTTACCCACTTTCCTCAAACAGCACTGGCTCAGACACACACCGTCCAGGTGTCCTCTCTTCCTCAACTCTGATAACAGGGATCACACCACACCCTGAGCCCTGAAACACCCATGGTGCCCATTGTTTCCTCTTCCTGGCACTCTTCCTATGCATATGCCTCAATGAGGTAAGACTACCCACCTTCCCACTCAGTCCTTTAATCCCCTCAGTTTCCTTCAGGTGATTGCCACCCACAACAGGCTCCCTTCCTTCTTGTGAATTCGAATGCTATATACCTGAATTCATCCCCCCACCTTTTTGTTGTTAATTGTTTTGCAATGCAAAATTTCAAACATATAAAAGTAGAGGAAACATACCTGGGGACTATGGCATGAGCTCCTTGTCCTTCCTATTTAGGAAGCTGAGGTGGGGAGATCGCTTGAGTCCAGGAGTTGAAGGCCAGCCTAGGCAACTGAAAAAGAACCCCATCTTTAAAAAATAACATAGGAGATAGTATAATAAAACTGTATACCACTAAGGATCATCTTGGGTAACTTTGTCTCATGAATGTCTCCTTTCCAAGTAGATATTTTGAAGTCAATAATCATACAGATATATTGTATTTGTAAATAGTGACCCTCTATATATGTCTTCAATAAAGACTTTAAAGTCCTGCATCTATAATCACACCTAAAAATTAACAACTAATTACCCAGTTATTTTTTTGTTTCGTATTTATTTTTGTTTAAATCAGATTCACATAGTGTAATTGGTTGATACATACCTTAAGCCTCTTTGGGTCTATACATTCTTTTTCCATTCTCTTTCTTTTATTGCAATGTCTTTGTTACAGAATAGATTATTGTCCTGCTGAGCTTCCTATAGGCTGGATTTTGCTGGTCACATCCACATTACTAAGATGGCTTTATCATGTTGTTTCCCTACTCCTGTTTTTATAAGGTTAGTAACTAGACATAAAGAGCCGGTCAGTTTCTGTAGGGACTTTTGGCAACAATATCTCATGCTGAAGACTCATGAGAAGGCTGATAAGACGGTGGTCTAGCCTTTGGTGATGTCAGCAGTAAATGATGTTCTCTTATATCCATTGTATCCTTAGGGGCTGCAAAAATGGCATTGACATACTTGCCTTCCTGTTTGATGCCGCTTACGTTGCCCAGCTCTGATTGGTCCTCTGATCTTCATATGCTCCAGTGCTACGTGTTCTTAGCCGGCCACGGCACAAGCCCATTGCATTAACGCCCATTGTACAGCTCATTGGCACAGCTACTGAGGCCATTGGATCCCAAGTACTGCCTGTTGTTTGCTCTTTTGGTTGGCAGCATTTCCTAAGAATGGCCATAGTAATAATTCAGAACATTGTAACCATCCTTAAAATGCCAATATTATCCACACTCCTTCAATCTCAAAAGGTGACTTGATCTTTTGATTTTATAGATAAAAACAGAGACTTTGGGTATTAACTTCACACACTAAATTATAGAATGGCTGTCATTTTTATTCAGAATTACATATCCTTATAGTTCTTCCTTAAAAGATTAATATCTCCTGCAGTTCTGCCATACTTCTTTTGGACTTATGCCTATGCATCTTTAAATTTTCTTTCATAAGATATATATTTTTTATTGTCATATTTCCTCTGTTCTCAATTCCCTAAGGACAAAGTTGGTGTTTTATTCACCTCTGTGTCAATATACCTCACACATTTCCCAGCACACATTTCCAGTTATTGAATGGAAAGCATTCAATAACTATTGAGTTAACTCTTGAGCTATTAGAAGAGGCTTAAATTACATTCAATACACTCTCTAATGTAACAAGGTACAGAATTTTATCTTAAAACATTTCTACACATAAACCATTATGACATGTCTGGAGATATGTGTATTTGAGGATAATGTAAAAACAATTCCCACTATCTCATAGGAATTAGTAAAAGGATGCATGATCAATGATCAATGTAGAATTAGAGTGTTGTGTTCTGAATAAAGATTCTGTGTCCTCCTAATAACTGGAAGGACTGAATTTTACTGACAGATTTTATTGTTTTCCACACTGCTACAAAGACCTGGTTTTTAGGTGGCAATTCCTAAAGCAACCAAGAATATTTGTGTTCTCCTTGGAGTCACACAGGATGACCAGATGTTTGGCATGTCTTGGAATGTCCTACTTTATATTCATTGTTTCACTTATCTCAAGAAAATTGTCACACCAGCACCTAATTTCCCCCAAACATTATAGCTTGAGTTCACATCGTGTATGTTCTTAAGTGAAAGAGAATATTTAGATTCTGTCTGAATATTTTCCTTGTAGTCTGATAGCAAAGACCAGCCTTCCTAGAATTAGGAAATATTCTTGCCCAAATCAAATCCATAAAGAGAACCTTATTTAAAACCTCCCCCTCAACTCACTTCTCATAAACACAGCATACGGAAAAGAAAAGGCTGGGGCTAGGGAGCTGGCTAAGCAGGTGAAGTGCCTGTCATGGGGCACGAGGAACCGAGTTAGGAGCCTCAGGACCCACGAAGAAAGCCAAGCATGGTGGCATGCTTTATAATCCCAGGGCTGCCGAAGGCAAGACAGGTGAATTCCTGGAGTTTTCTGGCCAGCCAGCCTAGCCAAACTGGCCAACCTGGAGCCTGTGAGATACCCTGCGTTAAAAATAAGAGGGATACCTCCTGAGGAATGACACCTAAAGTGGGATTCCTGGCCTTCACATGCATGCACACACTCATCCTTTGAGCACACACATATACATATACACACTCACACACATACATACACACTCACATACACACACATACACACTCACACACACATACACACTCACATACACACACACACATACACCCTCACATACACACGCACACATACATACACACACACTCATTCTTTGTACACACAATACACACTCACACACACACATACTCATACACTCACACACCACCAAAATATTGATATATGTTCCATTAAAAGTAAAACTTCAGGCCGGGCGGTGGTGGCGCACGCCTTTAATCCCAGCACTCGGGAGGCAGAGCCAGGCGGATCTCTGTGAGTTCGAGGCCAGCCTGGGCTACCAAGTGAGTCCCAGGAAAGGCGCAAAGCTGCACAGAGAAACCCTGTCTCGAAAAACCAAAAAAAAAAAAAAAAAAAAAAAAAAAAGTAAAACTTCAAAAACCATGCCAACTAAAACAGGTTAAGCATCTTTGCCGGTCTTTTGTTGCCATTTAGAGTTTTACGTATCACTGTTGATTCTTTGAAATGATAGTTCTCAATCTTGATGTCACAATGGTAAGATTGTCATAAGTAAGTTTTGTTCTTGACTAATGAGAGCTGAATTTTGCAGTGGATTAAAAAAATAACTCAGAGTGGATTATAGGTTGTCTCTGCAATCAAGTCTTTTTCATTCATTGCATCCTGATATGGATTATAGTTTGGGACAGAAAGGAATGACATTACAGAAAGCTAAAGGGGACTTGTAAATCTCTCATGGCTTAACTTATGTGTTGACTAGCTCACATGCAAAGGCCATTATCATATGATTGTCAAACACATTTATAAATGCTGTGACTCACACTGTACCATGAAATCCATTTTAATACTCATTTTTCTGATAGTGAACACATACAAAAGTGTGTAGGGCATATGTAATAGGAGATTATGGATTCAAACCCAAATATGGCATTGGACATATATGTGTCACCCACATAAAGTCCTCCAATTATAAACAAACAAGAAGCAGTAATATGGATCATTGTCCATGGCAAGTATTACTGACACCTTACATGCTCTCGGCATGACCCTTCTTGTGGAAGATGCTTTTCTTTGAGATGTTTAAGGCCATCTGTCAGGCCTTATGTTCTCTCTTTCCTTCTGAACTATGTCAGTGTTTTTCCTCTTAAACTTTCTTTTAGAACCTATCTTTATTTCAAGGTGCATCTCCTTAGACTTGCCTCGATCCATACGTCAGGGCCAGTGAGATGGCTCAAGTGCTCACCACACCACCTGATGGCCCGAGGTTGATCCCCGGGACCCACAAGATGGAAGGAGAGAGCTGATTCCTGTAAGCTGACTTCTGACTTCCACATGCACACCATGGCTGTGTACCCGTGTGCACACCAACAATGTGAGAAAATAAATGCAATTTTTAAAACTTTGTAAATATACACACACCTTTAAAGACCCAGACCTGTTATCATTTCTTTGACTCTTAGAGGGCAGTCTGTTTCTCTGTGTTGTCTTCTTCCTTTCTAGCTCAGATGAAATAGGAAAAAAAATCCAAAAATTTTTTTCTTTCTAGTA